TCCAAGGCAGAAATACTAAACTAAACTGCAAGAAAAAAAGTTCAGGACAGAATTATACTATAATATTTCATCTGAATCCCTACAAAACAGTATCTGTCAGACTTTCATCCTTAACAGGAGTAGTCAATGCTAATGTGACTTAATGAAGAACCCTGACAACATTATCATATTTCTGAATCAAAATTACTTGATTACACTCTCCTTGAAGCTATTATTTACATTTTAATAAAGTACTATCATTACAGTTCTTTAATGGCTCAAAAGCCAGCAAATAACAGTGAAAAACAAAACGTAAGAGTAAAAAATATTTCATCTAGCTATGTAAATTTGACAAATGCACGCAACATGCACATGAAAAGTAAGCACATGAAGCAAAATCGAAAGAACAAATTCCTTATGCTCAGAAGAGGGGAAAAAAAAGAGCAAACACAATTTTGTTTGGACTGTAAGTCTGTAAGAACCTTGCTTCAGGTTTTATTAATGGTTGTAAGAAAGGGTTGTAAAGCACTGGAACAGGCTGCCCGGGGAAGTGGTGGAGTCCCCATTCGTCCTGGTTCAGCTAGGATAGGGCTAATTTTCACCAGAAGTTGGGCGGGTGCCACAGCCAGGCCAGCCAGTAGGTCACTGCACAGCAGGCTGGCGTCATGCCCACGGCAGACTGGCCAGAGCGGGCAGGGCCGGTCTCACCGTCCGGGCCGTGGCGCTCCCGCTCGGCGCCAACGCGCTCCCTGCTTTACAGCACTGGCGTCATGTCACACCTAGCTTCATTACTGTGTTGTTAATGGCTCCTTTTGCATTGTTGTATTAAATTATCCTTATCACAACTCATGGGGCTTCATCTTTTTCTCCAGCTTCAGGGTTTGGGTAGTTGGGGCGAGATGAAGTGAGCAGCCACGTGGTGCTCAGCTCTTCACTGGGTCTAAACCGCAACACCATCCCGGAAGGTATTTGAAAAACATGTAGACGTGGTGCTTAGGGACATGCTTTAGTGGTGACCTGGCAGTGCTGGGTTAATGGTTGGACTTGATGATCTTAAAAGTCTTTTCCAACCTAAACAATTCTATGAATGCCTGAAGCGTTAGTGTTTTTCATAACAAAGCAAGAGAATCCATAAAAATACTTGGGTATTTCAAGCCTTCAGCAAATTTGAACATACTCATGCATTTTGTTTATTACCTGAACAACTGGAATATGTAATCAATTTCACTAACTAATTATTAAAGAACTCTTTGATCTTTATCAAGCAATAGTCAGGCAAGTAAAATTCTGTATGCATTATGTCAAAACATTGCTGGTTCTCCACTAGTGAAAATGGCGTAGACTAAACAATTTAATAATACTTCTGTCCAGAAGATGCAATTAGACTTGGTAGTCTGAACTGTCACAAAAATATCTTCTAAAAATTCTGCAGTCCATTCATATAAAGCCATTTTATTTCACCACAATTAATGTAACTAACTTACCATAACAACACATGTCATTCATGACTTCTCACGACAAGATCAACCTCCTGAAGAAACTGAGAAAGACACTTTACAGATTGGGAGCACATATGCATTAAGACTGAAGTCAGCTTGGCACCTATTAGTTTAATTCTGATTGAATGTAGATTGTCCTGACTTGACCTCTCCCTGCCCTCTCATTTCAGGTTTGTACTGGCAGATCATTCCAGTACAGCTACACACATAGGATCACAGAATCATTACAGCTGGAAAGGACCTCCGGGATCATCAAGTCCAACCTCCCTCCCACCATTTCCCTAACCACTAGATCATAACCTCACGTGCTACATCTACTTGTTTTTTTAAACACCTCCAGGGATGATGACTCCACAACCTCCCTAGGCAGCCCATTCCAGTGCCTGACCAGTCTCTCAGTACAGAAATTCTTCCTAATATTCAATCAAAACCTCCCCTGGCACAACTTGAGGCCATTTTCTCTTGTCCTATCATTAGTAATTTCGGAGAAGAGACCAATACCAGCCTCACTACAACCTCCTTTTAGGTAGTTGTAGAGAGCAATGAGGTCTCCTCTCAGTCTCTTCTTCTCCAAACTAACCAATCCCAGCTCCTTCAGCCAGTCCTCATAAGGCATGTTTTCCAGCCCTCTTACCAGCCTTGTTGCCCTTCTCTGGACTCGCTCCAGCACCTCCATGTCCTTCTTATCCTTTGATGCCCAAAACTGGACACAGTACTTGAGGTGCTGTCCCACAAGTCCTGAGTACAATGGCACGATCACCTCCCTACTCCTGCTGCTCACACCATTTTTGATACAGGCCAGGATGCCACTGGCCTTCTTGGCCACCTGGGTACACTGCTGGCTCATGTTCCGCCAGCTATCCGCCAACACCTTCGGGTCCTTTTATGCCAGGCAGCTTTCCAGCCACTCTACCCCAAGCCTGTAGCATTGCCTGGGGTTGTTGTGACCCAAGTGCAGGACCCAGAACTTGGCCTTGTTAAACTTCATACGCTTGACCTCAGCCCATTGCTCCAGCCTGTCCAGATCCCTCTGCAGAGCCTTTCTACCCTCAAGCAGATCAACACTCCCACTTATTTCATGTCATCTGCAAATTTACTGAAGGTGCATTTGATCCCCTCATCCAGGTCACTGATAAAGACATTAAACAAGACTGGTCCCAAAACCAAGCCCTGAGGGACATCACTCGTGACCAGTTGCCAACTGGATTTAAATCCGTTCACCACAACTCTCTGGGCTCGGCCAGACAGCCAATTTTTAACCCAGCAAAGAGTCCACCTGTCTAGGCCATGAGCTGCCAGCTTCTCCAGCGGAATGCTGTGGGAAACAATGCCAAATGCCTTACTGAAGTCCAGGTAGACAACATCCACCACCTTTCCCTCATCCACTAGACGGGTCATCTCATCATAGAAGGAGATCGGGTTGGTCAAACAGGACTTGCCCTTCATGAACCTGCGTTGGCTGGATCCAATCCCCCTGTTGTCCCACACCTGCTGTATGATCTCCCACAAGATGAACTGTTCCATATACTTCCCTGGTACCAAGGTCAGGCTGACAGGCCGGTAGTTCACTGAATCCTCTGTGCTGCCCTTCTTGTAGATGGGAGTCACATTGGCAAGTCTCCAGTCATCTGGGACCTCCCTCATTAAGCAGGACTGATGGTAAATGATGGAGAGAGGTCTGGCAAGTTCTGCTGTATGATCTCCCACAAGATGAACTGTTCCATATACTTCCCTGGTACCAAGGTCAGGCTGACAGGCCGGTAGTTCACTGAATCCTCTGTGCTGCCCTTCTTGTAGATGGGAGTCACATTGGCAAGTCTCCAGTCATCTGGGACCTCCCTCATTAAGCAGGACTGATGGTAAATGATGGAGAGAGGTCTGGCAAGTTCTTCTGCCAGCTCCCTCAGCACTCTTGGGTGGATCTCATCTGGCCCCATAGACTTATGCGTGTCCAATAGCTTTAGCAGGTCATTCACTACTATTTTGTGGATTATGAGGGGATTACTCTGATCTCTGTCCCTTTCTTACAGCTCAGGGGACTGAATACCATGAGGGTAACTGGACCGACTATTAAAGACTGAGGCAAAGAAGGCATTCAGTACATCAGCCTTTTCCTCATCCTTGTAACAACATTCCCCCTTGCATCCAATAAAGGATAGAGATTCTCCCTTGGTCTTTTTCTGTTGCTAATGTATTTGTAATAACAGTTTTTATTATCTCTTGCAGCGGTGGCCAGGCTGAGCTCTAGCTAAGGTTGTGCCCCCCTAACGTTCTTTCTACATGGCCTAACTAAATCCTTATACTCCTCCTGAGTAGCCTGCCCCTTCTTCCAAACATGACAGACTCTCCTCTTCTGCCTAAAACCCAGCAAAAGCTCCCTGTTCAGCCATGTCAGAGCAACATTACTTGCTCCCCTGCTGAAATTTGATGAAATGGACTAAACCAGATTACATGTACTATGACCACTGCCAGTATCTATAGGCAGGCAAGTGAGGGGAAGGATAATCTTAAATAATTTCAGTTTGATTTTCAATATGGCTCTTGACTGGCTGGCAAAAGATTAAGAAAATCAATGAGGATGGAGAGAGCAGTAAACATGACTGATTTTTCGCCTTCTTGTTTCTGTTCCTTTGGTAGTTCCATTGAGAGTTCTGTGATATCAGTCTACTCGTTCCTTACCTAACACCAGCTGTGAAAATGCTCACCATGAGAACAAATTATTCTGGTCAACAATATTGAAGTAATTAATTAAAATATGGTTCCCCTCTTTAAAAACCTCTTCCTGTCAGACGTGAGGGAAGCAAGGACAGAAGAGCTCAAATGGTTTGACAGGAAAGCCTTATACTACAGAAAGATGACAAGAGGTCCCCAGCGTAGCTGAGGGATTACATTCAGGGATAACCCTCTTTATTCCATTTCCATCCTTTCTAAGGTAGATAGCTGTACACTATAAAGCACAGTGGCCATTAGTTAAATGGACTCTGTAATCCTATCTACAAACATCCTTAAAGGCAGGAGGAAGAAAAAGCATTCAGAACAGGCAGTTTCAAGACAGAATCTCATGAGTATATAAGAAGAAACAACATACAGTTTTAAACCTTCAGTCATCACAGAAGCAAACACTACTTTACTTTCTTAGGAGTTTGCTTAACATAAAGTGCTGCTGCAGCCATTACATTAGTATCATTAAACTGGAGTAGTTAACTACCTACAATACAAACAGCAAATCTAGCTTAAGTCAAAGACTCTTCACAAGCAAACAAAAATTAAAGATTATCAAAAGGTCCTCCTCATAATATTAAATAAAACATGTTCCCAGAGTTACTGTGAATATCCAAAAATTGTTTCCCAAAAACTGTCCTATTAGCTTTAAACTACATAAAGAAAACATAACAGCATTTCATCCTCATCAGCTACTCACAAATCAAATCTTCAGTCTTATCTGCATGCAGCCAGCGGGTTTTTAAAATTCTGCTGTAATTGAGGGGAAAAATAATTAAGCAATATTATTAGTCATCTTACCATTGTTTCCTGGTGGTTGTAATGCATCTCCTGTCAAGCTACACCATCCAACTGGGAAAATATCTCGAGAATCACATCTGCACCAATAGTCAAATGCTCCTCTCCAGCCATCAAACGTAACAAAAACTTCATCCCCTTTAACATCTCCAATGGTTGCCGGACAAATCAAGTATGGGTTCTTCCTGTCTATAGCTTCAAGTTTCATTCCAACTTTGAAGCAGTTTGGCACAGGTTTTGGTGGTTCCTACAAAGGTAAAAGTGGTAGAATATTTGAATTTCTATGGCCTCATAAAAAAAAAAAAACAAAAAACAAAACAAAACAAAAACAAACAAACAAAAACACAAAAAAAAAAAAAAAAAAAAAAAAAAACCAAACTATTTTTCTTCAACATCCTTACTACTCATACTCGCTACTCTCAAAAACTTATACTAGACATATAAGGAAAGTTACATTTCTGTATTATAAAAATCTAGATTTTCTTCCCACACCCAGAGTCAGGGTAATTAGCAAAATTCTCCACAACAGAAAAACCCTGATGAAAATATTTACATAAGCAATAGGTTGCATCCAATACATTATGTCTGGGCAGCAAGACAGAGAAGACACTAAAACAAAATTACTACATGCTAATAACAAAGAGGAGGTTTGCAGGGAATAGATATTTCTGGGGACTGATAACTGTCTGGTAAAGCTTCACCTCCCAATTAATCCATGCAAAATTCATTAGCATCGGACATTATTTATAGGCCTCTGGTAACTCAATTTGCCTTAGATCAATTCCAATTGGACAAAAGAAAAACAGAAATGTGACCAGAGTAAGTGTAGCCCCACAGCAGGAGCTGGGACCCAATGGAACCCAAATTACCACTTCAGTCTGAGGAACCTCATTGTCCAAAAGGCATTTCAGATGTAGTGGTAGGCTAGCACAGGGCAGTGTGATTCATCACACTTCAGAAAATTTATATAATCCTACATTTTAAAGTTATGTAGTTTACACATAAAGTTAACACACAAGCAATGTGGCTGAACTCAACTCTGATTTGTTGACATACTTGTCAATGTCACTCACAGTATCAAAAATGAAGTCATTCAATGGGTCAAGAAGGTTTTACCACCTTGACAAAAAATTGAACAAACAAGTCATTTTAATATTACCATTGTTTTTTATATAATTTTTCATGTCTCACTGTAACTTACTCAAGAATCCTGTTTAAAAAACTGAACAGCTTTTCCTGCTGTTCTCAACTACTTTCTCACTGCATTTTAAATTATGAGTATGTGCCCAACCAACATATTTAACAAAACCTTTCCAAGCACTGCTGTATTCCAAAGGCTCTTATTTGCCATTATTTTTTTTTACTCCTGTGCACAGTCACATGAATATAGTGCTGTTAAGAAACATGACACGCATTGTATCTTAAATCCATGAGACACAAAAAATGAGCTATCACCATTTTTTTCTAAATAACACACCATACTTTAAAGTCTCAACTCAAGAAGAGAGATGTCCATCTCAATGGACTAAAAGCAGATTGCTCTCTGTCTAGCTTTGTAGCTTGCCAATCCACTTCAAATTCATTTTAAATAACAGTCTTGCCATGCTACAGACAACAGGGTAGTATGTTGGCATCTCCATTAAAAAAATGTAACCATGGACCAGTTGATAGACAGTTGTTTACTAGCAGTCCCTTTCTTCTTACCTTCTTAAAGAATGCTGGGGGTGCCATTTCAGCTCCATTGAGAGTTCTTAAGAGAAACATTGGCCAAGAAGACGCATTCATCTGGAACCCTAAGTAACAAAAAAACAAACAGCCATACTTTCCATTTTTAAAATAAAATAGGATGAGAAGATATAAAGTCTGTTTTACTAATGCCCCCCCTTTCTTTTGGACTTGGCAAAAATAAAAACAGCCAAGAAGCAACAAAGAGTGACTGTCTGAGTGGGGAGCCATGCAACGCATCTCCATTCTAAGTGACTTGCCTGAAGAATCACTCATCAGTAACTTGCCATATTACAGATAGACACCTAGGACCCAATGACATGAAAGTTCTAGTACACAAGATCATAAAGTTGTCCCACAGAGCCCTTACTCCAGTGGAACCTCCCCAACACAAGTGCCTAGCTTACTCTTCAGGCCTGCTTTTTGCTCTCATTCTAAAGCGATATCCTCTGATCCAGCTTCCCTCATGTACTGAGGAGATAGCTTTGTATTTTCTAGACTCTTGTAGGTTTTTCACCAGACCACAGACAAAAAAAAAAAGTTTCTTTTCCTTCCTCCATGAAAATAAATAAATAAATAGCTTTAAAAAACAAAGATTGTATTAAGAGGGAAGAACAAAAATACAACTATTTTAATAAATGCCTGTATCATATTGGAAAACATGAACTGGAAGATGTTTCTACTTTAATATTCTTCATTAACAAGTGAATAAAAAGCACAAACAATAACCAAATTTGTTTAGATTTACTATCTTACTCAAGAAGAACAAAGGTTCACTGAAAACATTCTCATTCCAGATAATCTTCCCTCAGAATCAACTTCTTTACAGTGAAAAATGAAAGAAAACAGAACAAAATCCTTTTGCTTTCTGTGCTTTCCAAATGGATGTCTCAAAGTAATGAGTAAGATAACAGACACAGTGGACATTTTTTTGTGTGTCTTTAGCAGTTAGATTTCTGGCACAGTTCTATAGAAAAACAGACATAATACAGCAAATTGGAAATTTTTCCACAAAATAAATAGTACCACAATCTGCCAGGAACTGATGAGTTCACTCATAACTGAGTCTCAACAATTCTCTTAAAAAAAAGAAAAAAGTAACTAGAAAGGTAGAACATACTTGCAATACTTCAGCAGTTAAATCATTAAGTCAGCTAAAATTGGATTATACACAATAATGGTTCTTTAACTAGTAATTTTAAGCTATCTTCAGCTGAATAAACATTTTTCAAGCTGGCACTATCTATGCAACATCTAAATGAATACAAAGCTTGTATTTGATAAATGGTGTCATAATTTGAGAACTGCTGAGCTGATTATCAGCCCCAGTTTAATACCAGAGTCTTTATACAATAACCTAAACACATGTGGTTATTGAAACACAACCCTAACCAGCTAGCCCAGAAAAGACATACAAAAGACAGAGGAACAACACCTAAACAACTGTCTCAATTAACTCCATTTGGCCTTTATGTTGTCCTGGTAAAACCAAAGAAAATGTTATCCTCAATGTAATTTGTTGAGAACTTAAGCTCTCAACAACAAAAAAGCTCACCTATGAAAAACAGGCTGGAACAGGGACCCTTTGCTACATTAATTGCCTTCTCAAAACCCTTACCTAACACACATATTTAAAACTGTAAAAATCAGGTAGGAGGGACTATTTTAGCTAGTTACTATGACAGAAGCAGAGCATTATGATCCAGAAGGTTCTCTACTACTCAGGGAAAAAAAAAATAAAAATTAGTTGCTTAAAAGGCTAACAGGAGGTAATTATACACCCAATTAGTTCCCAGCTTTCCCCAGGAACAGGATGCTGTAAAACTGCCAAAAAGGCCTTTTCAAAAATTTATCTAGGTATGCCAGAATGTTTGATTGCTGGAATTTAGCCTATCTCTAGAAAAATCTAGGGCAGGAGGGACAAAATAATGGCACTTGCATTCTTTTCTTAATAACCAGCAATTGTTCAGAGGGCAGGTAAACTTACAAACCTGGGTGCAGGGAAGCAGCTGTCTGTTAGGTGCTGCACTACAAGCAGCCTGACCAAATAGGGGTAAGAAACAGTATTCAAAGAGAAGGCACCAACCTTTCTACTGATAATCATGGAAAGTTTCTCTTCTTAAGAGATCAACTGCCCCCATTATACACAACCAGAGCTGCTTTCATCAGACTGGTTTAGAAACACGTTTAAAAAGACACTATGCTCCTGAGTTGAAGCCATGTATTTAACACTGCACTTACGTGTAGCTCAAGGAATAGGCATACCCTTCTCTATTATAGGCTCTTTTCATACTGGTATTGCTGCATTCATTCTACAAGGTTATACCAAGAACTTAACAGAAGTTAATTTGAGTAACTTCTCAAAAAAAAAAAAAATTATAATATCTTCCCCCAGATGTCAAGAATTTCCAGTGCTTTCATTCAAAACCTCTATATATCCACAGGAAAAAAGGAAAAAAAAAGCCCTCCTAGGCTCAAATTTTATCTACCCATCCCAAATAATATTTTTCTAGTCTGACACCCTGGTTGCATTGTTTTTGTTGGCTTTCTAAAGAAGCCCGACAGCACAAAAATCTACCCTTATAATCTATGTGAAATGTCTTAACGGTTACATCAACTGCTCCTGTGCCTGTTTGCCTCACTACAAGCAAATCCAAGTTTCATACTGTACTGACATTATACATTTCACTTCATCTTTCAAACAAAAGAATTGGAAGTTGTTAACAAATTGGGATGATGAATTTTTTGAAAGGCTATTAAGAGAAAGCATACTTCACTAAACCTCTGATGAGAAATCAGTAGAGTTATTATGACACCAAATCAGAAGAAGGTTCATAACCATAAGATGGGAAAACAGCAGTAACCAATTTCTGCTTATAGTTCATTTCTCATATTAAGAATGTTACTTCTTTCATCTTCTAAAAATTACAGAAGATACCAGGATAACAGAGGAGGAGGCGCTGCTGTTCTTGGGGACTTGGGGGATGGTCATTTTAAGATAAACTTTAGTCATGAGTTTTCTTTTTAACTATTTCTCAGTTTGGGGAGACACATAATGTCACCCATATGGCTCAGGGAAGACAAAATAAATTCTGTTTCTAAGCATGGGAAAGCAACACCTTGTTCCTGAGCACTCATCGCGCTCAGAAACTGGTCATGACAAACCGACAGGATGTCCACCAGCACACGTCCTTTTGAGATGAGAATCACATGCAATATAAGCTTGCAGTTGCTAAACCTCTGGAGTGCTGTTTTTCCTATGTCAGAACAGAATGCTGCAATACTGCCCTTAACCCACCCTGTGCTGCCTTTCCCAGACCACAACCAACCTGCTTGGTGCCCGAGAAAACATGCAGGCTGCCCTGAACTGATGTGCCTCTGGCAGCCCCGCGGAGCGCTTCCCAGGTCGGTTAACAGCGAGCGCCTTCTACCGGGCTGCTCTGACTGCCTGGAGAGGAAAAAGGCAAGGCAGCTGCTCCCACCAGGTCTTGGGAAGCTCTGTCAACAGCAGCATGCACAGCACCGGGCAAAAAAATGTCACCATACACATTCATAAAATGGGGGATGTGAGGGAACAGTTACAGAATGTGCACGTAACAGTGTATCTCATCATTAGAAAGCTGCCAGACACCCCCGTTTAATATTAAGGGACTATTTAAGAAAGCCAACAAACCAACCAATCAACCAACAGAACTCAAAACTATTTATTCTGCTCATTCTTATATCAATAGAAAACAAAAAGAAGAAAAAGTTATAATCCACTTAGCCTGACTTAGTTTGCTTACTGCTAAATTATTATTACCAACTAAATTATGGTTTGGTGAAACTCTAGTACCACTGAATTTGCAAAGACAAAAAGGTAAAATCAACCTCGTGGAGGTAAGACTCCACCCACACTCGTTCAGAAGCTTTATTCCTTACCCAGCGGAGGCTGGAGCATGCCCCCCTTCTTTTCGCAGGTCCCGATGGGCTGTATGTCGGAGGAATCCACAAGCCTCCAAAAATCATTTTTGTTGTCACTTCCATCCAGTCGCAGCCTCAGCCTGGCACCGGTGATTCCGATCACGGTAGCTATACAGACCGAGGTGACGTTGCGAGGGTCACGGGCTTCCAGCTTCATACCAACTTTGAAATCGTTCGTAGGTGGAACGCGAGACTACAGTAAGAGGGAAAAAGACTTTATCTTACTGTTGTTAGTATTGCTAAGTTCAGCAGCCAGTTCAATATACAGCTTTCATTCATCCACACATTATATAAATGGTAAATATAAAGAAGCCTTTGAAGTTTGAGTATTTAGCAGCAAGTCAGAGAAAGCAGCTGGATAACCTAACAACAGCTACCATTTCAGGTACTTGAATGCTCCTACTGCATAAACATGACTGACATCTGAAAAGATAAGCACACTAAGAAAGGCAATACAGGAATTCTGACGAAGATACGAACATAAAGATGGGAAAGTAGTGATTAATATTTGATTTGAATGGAAAACAAGGACATTGGGAAACACAACATCAACTCAAAAAAAAAACCCAAAACAACCCACAAAAAAAAACCCCAGCCCTCAAAAAACACACCAAACCAAACCCACCCACAAGATTAAATAGTTTTCTATTAAAAAGAAACAGTTACTCTCATTATAGTATTATCTTGGAGATTTAAAGAAAATTTGGACACGACTGAACTAGGCACTACAAACGCTCAAGGCAAGAGTTTCTGCATAAAAAAAAAGCTTACAATACAAAGAAAGAAGACAGAAAAAAGAGTTGGTGTTAACTGCATTTTACAGAAAGAAAACAGACAGTCCTAAAGTCACATAGAAGTTCTGTGCCAAGACAAAAATTGCAGCTTGTGCTTATTCATAGAGAACTGAATATATTCATGCACATACAATAAAATGCCAATTTAATTAGCACAGGGAAAAAAACGTGACAAACACAACTTGGTCTTTGAGCAGAACTTTCTGTCACAAGCTAAAGATGAACAAGAGTATTTTTTATTTAAGCACCAACACACTACTGGCATAGATTGACTAGCTCGCAGTCTGATTACTTGCCTACTGTAGTACTGAAGGTAATAACACCATCTAATAATGTTCAAAACTTGCATTAACACTAATTGGCACTGAATGTCTCTCACTATTCTCTTTAGACATCTCATTTCCAGCCTGAATTTATTAATAGAACTTTTTGCCAGCACCACCATTTAACTTAAATTCTTTTTGCACCTTTGCAAACTACAACAAAATCTACAGTGTATTTACAGAGGGCAACCTGAGCCCTTCTCAGTTACTCTTTCAACAAGTCAAATAAGCCAAGCACTGAAGTTTCTCTTAGGGAAGAATGCCTATTTTCCTATCACCCTGGAAGCCCCTTTCTGCAACTCTGAGTACAAAGCCGCTTTGGAACACAGATCCAAGACGTGTAGGCAGCCTTCCCCAAAAAATTTAAACCCAGCAGCTATCACATAAAATCTAAGACAATCTGAATCCTAATCTGGGAGGGCAGGTAGAAAAAAAACCAAAACCATGAGCATTCACACTCACAAGATTCCTATGTTCCTCCTCCTGCCTGGCTGACCAGGTCAGGTGGGGGTCCCACAGAAGGCAGATAAGGGCAAACTTACCTGTCAGGATACATGGGAAAATGCTGAAGAAATCTGCTACTACAACAAGTGTTAGCAGTATTTTGTCTTCATCTGTTCTGATTTTTTAAAACATATCTTGCTCTGCTTCCTATGGTGTGCGGGTGCATTATTTACCACACATCCTAGATCCACAGCAGGAACCCTGGAGGAGCCTGAGCCCAAAAACCAGAGCAATAGGCAGTGAATGCCAAGTGTGGCATCTGCCAGTGCTGCATTTAGAGAGCAGGCTGGCTTGAAAGGGGAGCCTGAGCATATTAAATTTAAAGGGCAATTCAACTTCAGATTACTTCTCATCAAGCTGTTATTTTCTACTACCACGAAAAACACCTGAAATTGAGAAACTGGGGAGTTTATTTGTTTGTAGGAAAGGTGAGCTTGTTTAAATACCGACCACTCAAAGCTTTCTACTAAAAAGGTAACTCCTCCATGCCAGTCCATCCTTACAGCAAAATAACAAAACCCGCTCATTAACAGCCTTGTTTTACACTCTGTTCAAACCACAAGGGGCTGAGCTTTTTAATTTCAAATTTTCAGCTGCTTGAAAAAAAGTTTTGGGATGAGAGAAAGGGATGTGGAATGCATCGAAATTTTAATCAGTAATTAAAAACAACTTAGAGCAACAGATAAAATACTTTCTAAATTGAGACAAATACTTTAATCAATTTCCATTAGCTGTCTGTGCTTGTATCTTGAGTAGTGGCTTTAATTTATTGCTCCCTGGGTCATTTTTAATTACTACAAAATTTAAACTTAGTATGATCCCCACAGGTCACAAATTCTGGATATGACTGTCAAATTATGCTTCTCTCTGCTATTTGTTTTCTGCCTGGCCACAGCAGTGTATTTCTTTACATCATACAGTGATAACAACACATACAATTCATGTGTAACCCAATACAAGTCAAATTAGTCCTACACAAAGCTCAAGCACTTTAGTTTCTAAAATCTGCAAACATTATGCAGTGAGAGGAGTTCGCTCTGTACTAATTAACATTGCATATCACTTTCTACTTAAAGGTCAACTCTTAGAAGAAGGGGAAGAAGTATGCATATGTAAATTGTTCTCAAATCTGCCAGGCAGAGAAACTGAAGTTCTTCTTTCCAGCCCACACACGCCTTAAGGGAAGCAGGTCACGCAGATTTCCCTCTCAGCCAACGCGTGCCGCTTTACGCATCTTTAAGGTGTTACACGGGTGTTCAGTTTGGACCTCCTGAGCATTAGTAAAGAAGAAGAAGATGCAAGAAAGGTGCAAGGAAGTTTTCTGAGCAGCATGCTGCAGTAGCTACATTTCTTGGGAGCATACACTCCAGTCATGGTGGTCTACGGTCTGCGAGTATGGCATTAACCTCAGAATGCTCCAGGGACGTGCCACTGTCCTCTGTCTCTACCCAAGCAGAGTCTGAGTCTGCCCTTAATTTCTGAAGCTCCACTCAAATAGAGCTATGGACACTACTATTCTTAGCCATCTCTCACTGAAAGCAGCATATGAGGGCTCTGTCCTTCATCCTCATCTGCAAAGAGCAAGCAGAGATTCAAGATCTAGTAAAAGGACATGTACCATCTGCTTTTCTCTCTTCCCTATTCTTCCTGAAGCTACTTTAGATTCACTGAGTGAATCTGGTTCACTGGTCCCTCTCCTCCTCAGACTACTCTATTTGTGTTACTTTTAATTTGGTCCCCACTGGAGGCCATTTACAGTACCATCAGACCACCTACAAACCTGAGAAGACATCTTTCTGAACATGCCAAATCCACTAAACTAGACATGCTCTGCTTGTCAGACCTATTACAGTTCTTTCAATCCAAACTATCCAATTCCTTCAGCATCTATCTTCCTAACTGAGTGAACGCATGCAGACCAAAACTCATCCTATTTAACTTGACACAGCTAAGAGACTCCTCAACTTCAGAAAATACTAGCCCCATCTTCCTCTACAGAGAGAGAGATGCCTGCAGAGGTCACCTCAGTCTGTAGACAGCTAAAGAGCTAGAGGTCATCAGCTCACACAAGGGGGCAGATATAAACTGCATCTGCAAATACACACTAAACCATCAGGTGGGAAGGAATCAAACTTGAAGGGCACAACACGAAATATAAAATACTACATTAAACACCCCACCCTTCACTGTAAATCCAGTATTTCCCTTGTATTCCCATATGTTTCCCTTGATTTGCTTTTTTTTTTTTTTTAAAAAAAAAACCTTCAATATCTGTTACTCCTTAGTAAAAAGAACTCTAGTTAGAAAGAAACAAAATTAAACATATTTGAGAGATCCAGATAAGAAGTGGTGAATTAACTGTATTACACACACACATATATCTTGTAGCTAGCCAGAACTGAAACAGCTGTTTCAGAAATGGGGCAGAAGAAAGGCTCCTCTGACGATTAGCCAAATTCTCACTAAAACCATGATACCTCTAATATTACTGAAAAAAAGTATAAAATATTTTTCAACTCTGATAAGACTTATCTAGTTTCAATAACCAGGCGTTTTAAAAAGGAAAAGAGTCCAAAGCTATCATTTTAATGAAACCCTCAAAGTTTGGCTTGAGGCGGAAACCAGGAATGAAAAACTTCAGGAGCTACATCTGCCAAAACTGGAAGCTACTGATAACTAGAGATCAAAAGCAGTCAAAGGTAAAGTTTGCAAGCAGCCTAAATATAGGACTTGCTGTAGGATCACCCTGTAACATGTATACATACACACAAACACTTACAAAACAGTATCTAGCATACCTGTCTGAAACAATGCAGAGGGGCAGCTACTGATTCAGTCTCTTTCAGATAATCATCCCAATTAAACTGTTCTGGAAGACATAAGATAAAAAAACTCATACAGACAGTTTTTAAAGGAAACTTAAATTAAAAGGGAAATTGGGGAAAGAGAGGGACAGAAAAACCCAACTACCCTGTAGAATACATCAGGGTATTTTTTTTCAAGAACATGATTATTTTCAAATGGAAACTCCACCTTTGAAAAACATAACCCCCTGGAAGGAGTTTTAAGAACACCATTAATTCATAGGGGCAACCATACAACAGGCAAAATTAATATAAACCTTCCCCAAATTATTTTGTTGTTGTTTTTCACATAAATATCTGATCATCTGATATCTGATATCTGGATTCAACTCCCTGCGTAAGGACCTACGAAGCATCCTTTTACAAATCACATTAGCTTTTCTGTATCTTGGTTCCCCTAACAGCAGGACTGATACAATAACCTCAAAGGAGTACTGAGATTATGTATGTTGAAAAAAACAGCTGTAGATTCTCTTGAAATAAATGTTAAGAATACCATCCCCAGTCCACTAAAAAGCAAAAGGATTAGCACAGCCTTCCAACTGCTTCTTTGTCTCTTTCCATCTGAAGTCTTGATAAAGGTTTCTATTGTAGGGTAAATATTATGGCAATGCTCAGCAACAGGATCATGGTATTTTTTTCCAGTGTTTATGTGCATGGGTGAGTGTATTCTGCATTGGATTTAGTCAGTGTTATCAGCTTTGCATGAATGGAAGAGTATGAAATGCTAATATCAAAGATATAACCAAGCATTACTTTAATATAAAGCACAAGAGAAAAATTACAATGGCACAGCTAATATTTTTGTTCCTAAATTATTTAAATGAGCCCTTTTGCCTATTTTTTTCCTGTTTGGACAGCTGGCATCTCCCTGATGTTTCTGAAAAATACATCACCCATGAACCCCACAATGATGCAGTGATGCCACCCAGCGGCTCAGCAACGGCCATTCACTTGGTAGCAAAATCCTTCCTGATGATGGAGATACTGTACATGGTTTATCAGTAATTCTTCCAAAACTGCCACCAGGCATGGTTAAACTCATATCTGCAATTTTCAGGAGAGAGGAGAAGCAAAGAAACAATCAGAAAATGGTAGCATCTTCCAGCACTTGCCAACACAAATCCTTCAGAGAAGTGGTGTGCTTGAACCTGGAGTCCACCTGCATTCGCACAGTCTTTGCTGAAGAGATGCAGTGCTTCCATCAGGAGGAAACTGCCCCCTTCACCTCCTTTTTTTGGTACAACGGACTCAAAAGTGTACATGTGATTTCTCTTTGGCACTGCAGAGGCCACGTGGTTGTCATCAAGTCAGTAAATTCTCAAAAGCTGTTAATTTGGCACTCTGGGCTATATGTAGGCTGGTAACAAAGACTTTTCCATACAACATCTTGGAAGTTCGCCTTTTTTGGAATGAAAATTTTATACATATACAGCTACACTGATTTTGTGTTACTCACAACAGGCAGGGTACACTAACTTAAGCGTATGTTAGGTATTTGTATTTCAGGAAGGCATGCTCAGGAAATGGCTCTTCAAACATTTCTCTCCAGAAAGTAGACTCCAGATCCATTGTTCTTTCCACTGACAGGCCAAGGAGGCTGCAAAAATTAAATATGAACTGCTATGATGAAGATTAACCTTAGAAAAAATTCTTCTGTGAGTCTAATAATGAAGTTGCCACTCCAGGCTGACTTCTGATTATTAAAAAAAAAAAAAAAAAAAGGTGTTTTAAATCAGAGTTTACCTTAGTAAACTTCTAAGTATCCAATCCAATAGGAGTAAATCTAGCAAAAAGAAAATGTTAGCTATGTCCCAGATGTCTCAGACCTAACGTGGTATAAAAGCTGTAATAATGAATCAGAGCCTCACTGTGTTAAGAACTGTATAAACATAGAAGCTTCAGAGACAGCACCTTTCACCAGCAGAAACCCCCATTCATCTCCTTTGAAAAAATTATCTCTATATACCAGCATCAGCCAAATGATCTCATTTGTTATAACAGGACTGTAAATTTGGTGGGATGACCCAAAAGTACAGAGGGAAACAAACAGTTGTTTTTTGTTTGTTTGTTTGTTTGTTTGTTTTTTTTTCCCAGGGAACATTTACTATAAAGACACATAAGGTAACTGAAGCAGACAGCTGCAGATAAATCCAAGAGAAAAACATTACGTGACTCTTTGCTCTTGGCTATTCAAAACCTCTTTCATCAAGCAGAAATGACCTGAAGTTTAAATTAGAACCTCTCTACCCGTGAAGATATGCTGTATTAAATTAAAGCCAAACACTCAGAAATAGTGCTAATTATCATTTAATTACTGCAGTCATTGAAATAGGAGATGAATATATGCTTGTGTAAGATGTATGTCTAGGAAGATAAACACATTGGAAAAAAAAATCTCTACAGAAAAAAAATGTCTACTGTATTCTCAGTGTGTACAGGTAAAGAAGCAGTGGTTTTATATATACTTCTAATTCTAAAGCCCCTGAAAACATGCAACTTTTGAGAAATAGAAATCCTTAAGAAAATTATCTTGCACTAAATGATTTAACATGCATTTCTCTTCCCACTCAAACCTGCAGGCTGAATTAAATAGCTTGAGAAAAACCCATTATGCAACAAGCACAACTTTATAACCCACCAGCAAGATGAAAACAAGGCATTTTTACACTGGAGAACAAATTGGCATATATGGGATAGGGAGGGGGGGAACCCACACCAGAAAGTAACTAGAACCTTTTGTAAAGAAAATTAAACAGTTTGCAACCAACACGGATGCTAAAGTGGTGATCCAAAGCAATCAGCACAGGCAAACAGCCTGACTAATGTAAAAATGGAGGAAATAAGTTTATGCTGCAGTAGCTTGCATTACTAGCAATGACCCATGGGTCAACAACCCTTGATGTTCTCTGCAATGCTCTATCAATACCCTATCACTTCTTGTCAAACCTGCCAATCACAGAGTAACTCAAGCTAAAAGGGACCCTAAGAGGTCTCTATTTCAGCCTCCTGCCCCTCCAGGGTTCCACCACCCCCAATGTGAAGATTTTTTTCCTTCCATCAAGTAGGAATTTCTTGTGCTCCAGCCAGTATTTGTTGCTTCCCATCCTTCCACTGCACTTCCAAGAAGAGTCTGGCTCTATCTCCTCCACAGCTGCCTGTCAAGTAACTGAAGACAGCAGGACAATCTCCCATCAGCTTTCTCTTTTTTCAGCCAAAGAGACTATTTTTATGGCTTCAGTACCAGTTTTCTGCTTACATCTTGCATTCTGGCTTCTGTATTTTTTTGGTGGACTGCCAGCCAGCTTGCTCCAGCATACCAGTGTCTTCTTGTACTGGTGAGCTCAAAACAGCACACAGCGCTCACAAATACCAGAGAGCAGCAAACCCTTTCTCTCTGCCTGCTGCGTGCAGTTTTGCTGATGGTACCCGGTGTGCAGTTGACGTCTTTCACCACAAGAGCACACTGCTGGCCTACACTCGGCTTGCTGCCTGCCAGGACTCCAGGACCTTTCCTGCAGAACAGCTTTCCTGGCAGCCAGCTTCCCACCCCGGCTCCTGCAGGACTCCAGTCTGCCCAGGTGCAGGAGAGACTCTCCACTTGCTTTTGAATCTCAGGGGTTCCTGTCAGCACGTTTCTCTAGCGTGAAGAGGTCCATCTGAAGAGCAGCCCTGCCTTCCAGCCTACCAGCTATACCTCCCAGTTAGATGTTGCCCATAAACCAGCTGTCAGTCTGTTCTGTCCAATCAGCTCCATCTGTCAGTAGGGAATAAAATAGCATTAGCCCCACCACTGACCTTTGAGAACTGTCATGAGCTACCAGCTGGACTTTGTACTGCCTGGCAGTCCAGTAAACTTTCTGTCCACATATCCAAACCACATCTCACCAGTCTGGCTGAAAGGACACTACAGAAACCATACAGAAAGCCTTGCTAAAGTCAAGATAGACAACATGCACTGCTCTCCCCTTGTTAACAAATCTGTCTCAGCTGCTCCTAACCTCATCTTTGTCTTTTATTTGTTTGGAAATGGCTTCCAGGAGGATTTTCTTCAGTCTTCCAAGGTCCAGCAGGCCAGCCTGTATTGCTCCCTTCTTGTCTTTCTTGACACTGGGCATACTGTTTGCCCTCTTTCAGTCAGCATGAAACTTTCCCAATCACTATGACCTCTCCAAAATGACAGAGAAGTCTCACAGGGACATCAACTACCTCAGCTCCCTCAGAAGCATCCTGTCTGCTCCCATGAATATGTGAGAGGCTGCTTTGCTGAAGTGCTCCCTGTCTTCTACTGTACGTAATGCTTCAGCTTAAGACAAAGCTTTACAGAATTTAAATTGAAGATATAAAATATGAGTGAAGTGTCACTTGTAGATAGATAGGTACAATTTGAGGTTCTAGTTTATTTAGGTTACTTTAATACAGTACCACCATATACTAAACATTGTTTAAGCAGATATAGCACCTTGTGTCTTCTCATCTCATCCCTAGGCATACATCTGAGACTTCTGACACAGACATGTATCTTTTCTAGCCTCCATTCCAGAATCTCACTTTGTCAAAGAAGAGGTTTACCTTTTAATTTTGTTTTACATAAATGGTTTTGGTTTACATTGCTTGCAAATGTAGCAGCCTAAGTGCAAGGTATTTCATACCCTACTTGATACCTCGTACCTGCTTCTACATGTTCTGAGGATCCCATTAGAATTTTTCCTCTCCTACTGTCTTTCTTTACTTTAATCTACTTTAATCCATTTCTCCACCTGTTTTTCTCACATCTCTGCATCACCCCTCCTCTTCAACTCTTCCTATCATGTATACCCCAAAAACTCTGGAGATTTCCTGGATGCTAGCCCAAAGTATCCAGCATCAGGAGGCTCATTCTTTTTCCTTGCCACCAATAACCAACCACACAAGATAAAAACTATCATATCACCTACAAAAAAAAAAAATCAAAGATCTTGTATGATCTTGAGCAAGGAACTCCTGTCTAAGTGTTTGACAGCTC